GCTGGGTAGAGCAATCATGGCTGTAGGGCCCTGCTTTTCATGAATTTGAATATTTCTTGCCAGTCCTTTCTAGCCTGTAAAGTTCCTTTTGAGAAATCAGCTGACAGTCTTATGGGAACTCCCCTGTAGTTAACTGACTGCTTTCCTCTTGTAGCTTTTAATATTCTCTCTTCATCTTTAAACTTTGACATTTTAATTATGATGTGTCTTGGAGTGGGCTTCTTTACATCCATCTTGTCTGGGACTCTGTGCTTCCTGGACTTGCATGTCTATTTCCTTCACCAAATTAGGGAAGTTTTCTTTCACTATTTTTCCAAATAGATTTCTAATTTCTTGCTCTTTCTGTACTCCTTCTAGCACCCCTGTGATGTGAATGTTGGAATGCTTGAACTTGTCCCAGAGGATGCTTACACTATCCTCATTTTTTAAAATTCTTTTTTCTTGTTCTGATTGGTTGTTTTTGCTTCCTTATGTTCCAAATCATTGAATGTATTCTCAGTTTCATCCACTCTACTAATTGTTCTTTATGTTCTACTTGAAATAAAGAACAATATAAATCATTCTTTATTTCAATTAGTATATCCTTCATTTCTGTCTGGATTTTTTATATATTGTTGAAGTCCTTTCTTAGTTCCTTGAGCATCCTTATAACCAGTATATTGAACTCTGCATCTGATAGATTCCTTATCTCCATTTCATTTAGCTCTTTTTCTGGAGTTTTGATCTGTTCTTTCATTTGGACCATGTTTCTTTGTCTCCTTATTTTGGCAACTCCTCTGTTATTCCTATGTATTAGGTAGAGTTGCTTTGACTCCCTGTGTTGATAGTATGGTCTAATGTAGTAGGTGTCCTGTAGGGTCCATTAACAAAGCCTCTCCTATCACCCTAGCTGAGTAATTGAGGTGCACCCTTTGGGTGGACTGAGTATACCTTCCTCTTGTAGTTGAGCTTTGATTGCTGTTGGCAGGTCAATGGGAGGGATTTACCCAAGCCAGCTGGGTGTAAGGACTGGATGTGACTGCTGACCACCAATCTCTACCCTCTGTGAAGGATCAGCTGTGTGTGGGCAGAGTGGTGGTGCTGCTACGTGGTTTGTAACTGTCCACTGTGTGCCCAGGCCATGCAGTTTCACAGGTGGTGCAGGCCAAGGTCTGCCCCCAGCTGTGTTTTGCCTGGGGCCACTGTGACTGGGCTGTAAAATGATCTGAGATGGTTGCTACTTTTGCTGGGCTTGTAGTTCCCAGGTGAAGCCAATGGAAGAATCTAGGCTGGCTGCTGCTAGTGTCAGGCCTGCAACAACTTAGCAAGAGGTATGGGGTATGGGGGCTAACTGAGATAAGCTGTTGCTTGTTTGAAAGAATTTAGGAAGTTGTGAAGCTTGAGCCAAGACCTATCATTCATATGAAAAAGTCTCTGTTAACACTTTGGTGGGCCCATAGTTTGGGTGGGATGGAATCTCAAGGAATCTCCCAGGCAAGGCAAATTGTGTTAGTTAGGTTGATAAAGTCTCAGGTATAGTACCCACCAGCTGACCCTGTAGCTCTGTGGGGTTGGGTTCAGAAAAGGGACAATGGCATCCATCCACCCTTCTATCTGGGAGAAAGCTGTCTCCCAGCTCCAGCCTTGTTGCCAGATACTTCAGTATCTCCCTATATGTCACTGGTGTCTTCCAAGCTGCTACTCCAGTGCTGGAGCTTAGAGGGAGTGAGTCTGAGTAAGTTCTGTGTGTGAGTTGTTTAAGAGGAACTATTGAGACTCCAGCAGTTGCTTCTACCAACTCAATCCCTACTGTTTTTTTCAGCCAGAAATTATGGGATCTTATCTTCCTGGCACTGAAACCCTGGGCTGGGGTCTGGTATGGGGCTGGGAATCCTTGCTCCCAATATAGCCCTCTTGAATTTTTATCTACCATATGTGGATGTGGGACCAGCCTGTTCCACGTCTCTTCATCTCCTACCAATTTGGATGGATGTGTTTTTTTTTTAGTTTTGTAGTTGTCAGACTTCCATTCAACTTTATTTCTGATTGTTCTGAGTGATGATTGTTCTATAATTTAGCTGTAATTTAGATGTGGTTGTGTGAGGAGATGAGCCATGTTTACCTATGCCACCATCTTTAATAAATTTAAATTTCTGTCTGTACTCTCTCACCTTTCTGAGGGCATAGGTGTAATCCAAATCATGGACTTGATGATCAGATCACACCTGGATTTAATCTCGATGACTTTATGTACGAGTATTAACTGGATGATTTGGCATGGAACTTACCTTCTCTAAGCCTTTCACAGGCCTATTGTATATCAGGAATCAATGAGATAATCTATCTAAAACATTGCATCTGGATCTGTGGGTGAAAGACAATGTAACTAGCTGCACTTGAGTCCTCAAAAATTTTGAGCTGGTTTAAAAAAATGTGGAATGATGTGAGCAAGGTGCAGAGGCTTATGTTTGGTTATGTACATGGTTATGGAAGTGAATGAGGTTCAGAATTGGGCCACCAGGATTCTATTTCCAATTTGACTAAAGAGTGAGAGGCAGTTAGTTATAGAGGATATGATTCAAGGTTATAGGATGGGAAGTATGAACAATGTTGAAGACAAGCTATATCCAGTCTTCTTTTGCCTAGAATTGGCCTTCATGTCTATGAAATACTGACTGCTGAGTGACAACTAGTTAAGGTGAAGAAGAAAATTAGGACTAGAGAAAAGAGGTGGCCCTGCCTTGGTAGCTCAGCTGGTTAGTGTGTCTGCCTGATATGCTAAGATTGCAGGTTCAATCTCTGATCAGGGCACATACAAGAAGTAACCAATAAATGTATAAATAAGTCAGGCAGACCAAGACTGTGGACAGAGTCCAAGAAGAGAACACGTGGAAAATCTGGTAAAGTAGGAGAAATAGGTAGAGAATCATTATCAAGTTGTCAGACAACCATGAAGTCCAGGAAATTCATGGGAACTAATGAGTACAAAGGCTGGTAGAGAAACAAAACTGAAGCATCAGGTACATGATATTCAACCAACCAAAAGGACCTTTTCTAGTCTCACCTGGAACATGATGATCCCAAGAGAAATGATCTGAGTGAAAGGCTCCAGGCCAGGATAACCCCCAAATTCTGCCTGCTAGGAGTACAGAGACCAGTGGTCATGTTTTTTAGCAGAGGGATTCTCTTAGCATATTGAGTGCTCCAGAGACGTTCCTTCTCTCTGCTTTCATCTTCATGCGTATCGCCAACAAGTTCAGCTCCTAAAGCTCAATGATGATTTTAGAATCTGTTAGGCCGTGAGTAGTGTTATTGTATTGTCTTCCTGCCTCACAAAGAAGTGGGAAAGAAGGAGAAGGCACAGGAATAGGAACAGAAAGAAGGAGAAATGAAATAGGAAGTACAGTTGACAGGAAATCTGGACAACATAGGATCATGACTCAGATATTTGGGGAGATAATCAGGTGCCTGGGCTGTGTTGTTCTGTTGAGTTTACTTGAGGGATATTGTTCTCTTATGTATACTCAACTGTGTGACTTCATTCATAGTTGGATGTTACTTGCTCATTTTCCCCCCTTGAAAGAAATTAGGGTTTCTTAAGTGGGAGATATTTCTCAGCCTGAGGAAGAGAGAGACTTTTCCCCATCTGTATTTCCCCAGTTGGGGTACACACACACACACACACACACACACCAACTGGGAGAATATTGATTGAAAAAAGTATTGCAGATCAACATTTATTCAAGACTCAAAATATTTCAGGTGGTTTATAGAGCAGAGAGACAGATGTACTTCCTTAAGGCTTAAGTTGTGCACATCACCTTTGATTGAGGAGAGCTAATTTACTCTTTTCCGAAAGAAAATGGGGTTGAGAAGAATGATTACAGCAAAGTGCCTAAACAGAAAAAGTGTCACAATTTTTTATTGACTTTTTGTTTGGGATATTTTTGCTAACTTATCAATTATTTTGTGACATTTTACAGTGTAACAAGATTTTGGTTTTTGTAAAACATCATTTTGAAATTGCCCCAAACTAGATTTCTCTCTCTCTTGCATCAAACTGACATTGGGTACAACTTTATGAATCTTGAATGATTGGTCTGTTAGCTAAAAGTCTTTTAATGGCAAATTACAGAAATAAACTTGACTTTGAAAAAAAAAGGGAGTCTAGTGTATAAGAATAGGAAAGTCTTAGGGAGGCTCAGGACAAGAAATGTAGGTGGGCCCTGGGAATGTTTTGAAATTCATTCTGGAAAGCCCTCAAATGCCTGTCTGCTCTCTGGGCTGCCTCTTCATGCACTTTTGTTTATCATTTTTTACCTCATCTGATCTATTTTATGGTAGATTAAGGTTTCCCCATAGCTTCCAAATTGATATATAATAATTTCAATCTCCCAAAGTGTCCACAGAGCAGTTTAAATACTTACTCCACATTCTTGGGAGAGAAAATCTATTTGCTACTCACTGCTCACCCACATAGATTAGAAGGCCACTCCTGGTTTCATCATGTATGGTATGAACATGGTTTCTTGGATGCCTAGCTCTGTGGACTTGGAGACATGAAGGTGGGAGGCACTTTCCAGAAAAGAAAAGTTGTTAATGGGCTTGATGAATGTGCCATATTTCATCTGTCCTCCCATGCCCAGAATGAGAATACTACCTGGCGCTGAGTGTGCTCTCAGTAAATATTTGTCTAGTGAAATGATTATTGACTGAATGCACTGGTAAGGATATATAAAAACATGTTTGGTTAGATACATGAAGAAGTTTGTGCATTTTGAACATCATGATAGTAAATCTTTGCACGTTGGTTGCTATAACAGTTAACTGAAAACTAAAGTTATATTAGCTCAAATCATTTGATTTCTAAGGTTGTTTTTTCTGAATTTGAAAAGACATTTAAAAATTTTTTAAATTATAAATTTTTGTGAAAACATTTGGATGACTTAATAATACGCATATTTATTTATTTTAATAATATTTGTCTCTCTATTTTAAAAAAATTTTGGATGTTCCTGAAGACTAAACCTGGAGTAATTCGCCCGGTACCTGTAAAATCCAAAATATTATTGAGAAAAGAGGAGGAAGCCTATGAACCCAACCCTTTCAGTAAATACCTGGAAGATAACAGTGACCTTTTTTCTGAGCAGGTGAGTAAATGTGTGTGAACAAATCTTTGATATTTTGACAAATGGCTATATATAATATAAGATGGTTCTATGAATATAGTCTGTACAAGAAAAAGTTCATTTAATTGGAGTATCCGTAGTAATAAAAAAGGTCAAATTTTACATGATAAAAATAAATTCTTATGTGTTTTCAGGATGATATTTTGAAGTATTAAATGTATTATTTTCTCCTAAAAGTGTTCTACCTACTGCACATATGATTCTGGTAACCAAGACATTACTCTCTATGAAGACATCATAAAGTCACTGGTTGGATGTATCATATAGGTGTTAAATTCTTATTTCTAAAATCCTGTTTCTGTTTGAAGAGATGTAATATTTTAGACTTGGTTTATTAGTACAGTTGACAAAAGATTTACTGTTTCAATTCATATTAACATGTGAGGGACGATGCGATCCCCTACATTGAGCAGTACTAGTTAGAAGATGGGGCCTTGTGTTATTTAAGGCTTCGTTGTTCATTTGGTTTATGTGTGAAACGGGTATACTATCTTCCTATAGTATATCTTATATGTTGGAGGGGGTATAATGCAAGGTTGTCAATGGTGCTTTGTTAGATATTTGGGAAAATATAAAGTATACATTATACAATATAATACTTCAAAGATTATTTCAAAGAAAAACTTTATGTATTTGTTCATCTTATTAAAATGCAACAAATAGGCATGGGTTATATATTTTACAAATTAAAGATTACATGAGTAAACAATGTAAGCCATCCAAAAGTCTTTCTGCATACAACTAGGGCACGTAAGATCATCACATTTGATAATGTGTAATAAAATAGTGTCATAAAGGAATATAAGCTCTTTTTAAGTTTAAGTTTGAAAATATAGGTAATGATATTTTTGAAACTATAAATGACATCTATCTATACATATGAAATATAAGGAGTATCTTATCTTCCACATATTAGGTTTATAACACTCAGCAAGTTGTTTCTTCTCTCTAGTTTCAGTTTCTTACTGTATAAAATGAGGCATTTAGATCAGGTACTTTTAAGGGTCCTTCAAATTCCAAAATTTGGATTATTTAAAATCTAAGGGTAACTCTGACTGTGTCTGAAGGTCATAGGTACCCCTGAAAAAGTTCACTAGAAATACTTTCTCATGATTAGTTATAGTTTTTAACTTATAAAGTGGAAAACATTTTATTAATAAAATGAAAATACTTTCTGTTTATTTATATATACTTTGTGAAGGCTGACATTATTTTAATAAATTAACATTTTTAGAAAGCACTGATAACATTGAAAATGATAGAGGAAATTAGTTGCATTTAGTGGCATACAATAGAGTTCTCAATTTAAATTAAATACAGAAATCTTATTGATACATAGGGTTGTTCTTATCTAATTCCACACATAACAGAAATGGGAATTCCTATTAGAAAGGCATATTTCTATTATCAACAAAACACATTATAAATCTATTGCTTGCATGACACTAACATTTTAGAGGTCCAGTGTGACATTTTAGATAGTATAGGGTCATTATAAAAACTTTGTAAGAGTAATTTATTCTTATATGACAAATATGTCAATAGTTAAACTTTACTTATGACCCATGTAGCCTACATTCTTCTATATGATCTAATGCTGTAATATAATAATTTTACTTTTGTATTATAATTTCAATTTTATACATCTTACTTTAAACAAAATTCTGTGTAGAATATCAAGTTAATCTACTTAATCAAAATTTGATGTCCTCTAAATGATAAATTTCATTTTCAAGTGTAGGAAATCCTTGTTATTAAAAGGACTTGCCGTTTTTCCTTTTCTTTTCCTGACTATACAGCAAGTTTAAAGCTGTTTATATACAACATAAAGCTATGTGTTTCCAGGAAATTTGTTGAACATTTCAGCTCTTTTGCAAATATTAAGGTGCTACAGATATAATCTTACTTATGTTTTCTTTCAACCAATTTATTCTTGTGTGTATCCCAATTTCTGTGTGGAGCATAGGAAGTAATAGGAGTCTGCAGACTGTTAGAATTGAAAAAACTTCAGCATACTACTTAAATGTGAATGCCAAACATTCCCTGCCCTTTTTTGTTGACCATTCATGCAAGGAGAAATTACGATGGACCCTTGGGGTCACTGCATACCGGGAAACTGCATGTACTCTCAGTTTGCCTCTTTATATTGAACTTCAATTACCATCTCATTGCATATGGAGGCAGAATCTGCAATGGAGGCAGATAACAAAGATAGCTCACAAGTGTAGATGTTTAGATCTACTTAAAAAATAAATTGAGTTATAACAATTTATAATCTCAGCATTGCTACTTCATGAACACTTTAATAGAAGAGAGCGTACTCAAATTCAGTTCTAGTTGCTATTGTGTCCGTGTCTGCTACCCCAGCGTAAATTGAATGGTTCCAAACTCAGTTGCTATCACCCACCCATGTAATGGAAAATTCTTTAGCCAGAATGTTGGGCCAAATTGAAGCAGCTCACATTCACTAATCTCCCTTGTACTGGGACAGTTCCACATGACAGGAGTTGTTGGATGTGACTATTAAATCAATAAATTTCCCCCAGTAGCTTCACTGCCATAAAACATGATTTCAAAACTCTGTGTTGCAAAACATCAGAAACTAAAGATGATGAGACAAGACAGAAATGTATTTACTGTTGCTTAAGAAGGTACACTGGGGCAGCCTTTTGAACTGATAATGAACTGAAAATTTGTCCAGAGTCGGCCTCTGAGTACTGAAAGGAAAGTTTGAAACCACATGCACAATCAAATAATTGAGACTCACTAATTAACAACTTTCCCATCAAAATGGCATAGGCCAGAAGCCTCATTTTGAGTTAGAATGATTTTTTTTAAACAAAACCTCTTCATAATGAAATTTACGCTTTTCTGAAATTACCTTTAAATCCATTACTCTATCATTTTGTGGTTCTATTGAGTTTTTATGAAATATCCTCACTCCCCACATATGGATTTAAAACTATGAAGTGCTTTGAAGCATAGTTCTATTGATAACACAATCAATTCACTGATATAAATGAAGATGCTAAAGGCCCCAGTGGTTTTTAGTTTGACTACTTGTGAGTTTGCAAATATATTGGTTAACTTCTGGTCATTTAATGTATCTGGTTAGATAAAGGTTGATTTCTTCACTGAATACACTCAGTTTAATATAAAAAGAAGTTGCTACCATCAGTTATATAAAATATTCTCTAATTCTTTATAAATTATTAATTTAACTCATGACATTAGGTATGTCATTTCCTTCTTAAAGCCCTAGAATAATGTAGAAAAAACAGTTTAGGGCAAAATTAAAGGAGAAATATTGTCATTTTATGTCACTTTCCTAGAACTGTTTTTTTTAATGGGAAATAATGATTCCCAGTACATATGCCTCTTAAGTTTCATTATTCTTTGAACTTGCTTCTCAATAGGGAAAATAATATGTTGATGTGTGAAAATGACTATTTAGCAAATTTTCTCCACAGCACTTCACAGAGAACATAAAAGGATAAATATAGGGAATTTTCTTTGTTGTATTTCTTTTATTATTTCTTTCTTTCCTGATTTTTCTTGGCCATACAACTTCCTTCTCTTATTTACCAAACTCTCTCTGGTTGATATTGAACTTTGATGATTATGTGGGAGACTTTCAGATATCTATCTAATGAATGGTCAAGTTATATTTCTACCATGATCTTCACTTTCACTTCTTTATGCCACCCATGTGTTAACATAGGGCAGATACCTTTTTCATAAGGTGAAACTGACAATATTGCCTTAATCCTGAATGACTTCTGGCTTTGCCACAAATTGCTAGTTTTTCAACATTTGTTTGTCAATCAAGAAGGCTCATTATCTTTTGTAATGAAATGATCATTTATTAAGAAATATTTTTCAGATTAAAATGTTTAATTTGTTTAGGTCTAGAGATGATTAAGTGGTCTGCTCAATTGCTTTTAGGGGGAGAGAACTGAAATTGCTTGTTGTGTATCATTTCTTTTAGAAGAGTTAAGATCAGAGATCTGGCTTCTCCAACTTTTACCAAGTTGTTTTTGTTTACTCAAGTAATAAAATCCGTGTGGGTTGTTCTTTTGTCCTTCTCCCTCCCTCGCTCCCTCCCATTGTTCCTTCCTCCCTTCCTTCCTCCAGATGTAATGGGTAATAGGCAATTTACCATAAACAACTTAAGTACTATATGTACTAGATATTCTATCATCAATACAATAAACTATTTTTCTAGTTATATATACATGTGTATATATATATTTTAAATTGTCTTATGAAGACAATATTTGCTTTTTCCTCTAGGATATAATTAGATAGGATCACTTCTTGATACTTGTGCTTTCATATCTCCCTTTTTTAAGGCTTTACCTTTGCCTTGACCTTGTGTATGTATCAAGATTGGATAATTGTAACTGAAGAACTGTAATTTTCTGTTGTTTCTACATTGCTAAGGGATACTACTTTTTTGTCTCTCTTCCCTTGCTTTATGTAGGTTTAAGAATCTTAAAGACCTATTTACTATTTCTATTGTAATATATGCAATTACATAATAATTCTAATAATGAAGCAACTGAATCTAATAATTGGTTAAGCTCTGAAACACTGGTTGCTTAACAAATATTTGGTGACTTTGTAGTGTCTGACTATGTATACCCTATGTATTTCCCAATCTACTGGGAAACAATGACAATCTGAAAGGTTTTTGTGTCTACATTCTTTTACATTTTCTTAACCCATGATGTCACCCTATGTCTTTAAGAGAGATGGCCATTGCCATATTAAGAACCTATTATGGGAAGTATACTCCAGTTTTAAAATAAGGCCTTAACAGCATAGAATTAAAACCTCAATGTTGGTTTCATCTGAAAAATAATAAACAACTGTTAAAATGTCAATAGAGAGAAGGTAGCTGTGCAAAAAGAATTTTGAGTATATCTAAAGTAAATGTTATTTAGGTAATAGAAGGTTAA